GAGCAGAGACGGTGGGTCAAATTTTGCCTGAGGATGGTAGCGGAAGAACCAGGGAGAAATCAGAGAAGGCTTCACAGAAGAGGTGACCGAAGCAGAAGGATGAGTAGGAGTTCACTCTGACAAGTGCTACTGAGGGAAAGGCATTTGGGCAGAGGGAACAGTCTATGCAAAGGTACAGAGGCCAAAGAGCTGCTGCTGACCAAAGAATGTGGCCAAATTTTCTAAATGACGACTCCACTTCTCATGTCCCAATCCAGTCAAATCCTGAGTTATCTTTTGAGAGTTGTCCAAGCGTAGGGCGTGGGGGAGGATGCAGAGAAGCACAAAGCACATCCCCTATCCTCCTGGACTTCTGTCTAACCGGGCAGGCAGCAGGCATGTAAAGAGAAGCAAGAGTGAAAGATTTGATTCATGTTCAAGGCATCATTAGATGACCACTGAGCACACATTGTGGATCTGTGCCTGATTCACTGGGTAAGGATAGAGTAGCAAAGCTCGTTAGATAGTGGCCAGGTCATTCATTCATTCATTTGTTCTCAAATATTCCTTGGCACTCACATTATGTACCTGGCACATCTGAGGTGTTTGGGAGAGAGCGGTAAACAGGAAAGATGGGATCCCTGTGCTTATGAAGCTCACACTGAAAATTCATCCCAAATGCAGGTGAACAGATGAGTGGATGAGACCTTTTCAGATGGTGGCAGTGCTGTGAAGGAAACACAACAGGGTGGTTGCTCGTGGGGGTGCGAGTGGGGAGCAGGGGTCCCCCGCAGCTACAGGGTCCAGGAGAGAGCCCCTCTCATCCCGCTTAGAACCGAAGCCTGAGTGTGGAAGAAGGCAGTGCGTGAAGGTGTTGGAAGAGGAAGTACATAGGCTGGGGGGTGGGACAGTCATGGGGTGTGTTTTGGGGAACAGCAGGGCCAGTGTGGCTGCAGGGGTGGGGAGCACAGAGTCGAGGGGGGTAGGTTGGCAGGGCAGGGGGTCAGCGCTCTGTAGCTCTGAGAGGAGGCAGGTCTATTCTCCGTGGGAAGGCAATGGACAGAAGCCTCCATTTCCACACATTGCCTGAAGGTGCCCTTCTCTCCTACTGGGGACTTCTGACATGGAGGAAGCCCTCATGACATTTAATTTAATTTAATTTAATTTGGGCCGTTGACGCCTATCAAGCTATTCTCTTGCCCTCCCCGAGGGTCCTCCTCTTTCCTGCCCTTGACTCTCCCCCTCCCACCTGCTCCGTCCACGTGGAAACAGCTCCCCTCTGATGCCGAGTCCCCAGGCCACCCAATTTCCTGTGCATTATTACAATTATTAAAACACAAAATCCAAGCACAGCTGTTATCTTTCTTGTTGATCCACAGAGGAAAAAAAAAAAAAACAGGCAGAGAAAAGAAGAAAATACAGCTCTGCAACGTTGGATCCTATCGGCCCCGTACAGTGAGAAAAAGACGGGGCGATTCTCCGGTTGGCATGTGATAGCTCACCGGGCGCTTGGCACAGGGACCTTTGAAACAATGACACCGCGTGGAGGCTGTCATTCACCGAGGCTCGCGGGGGCTCTGGCGCTGGGGAGTCAGAGAGGGGACCGCGTAGGTACGGGGCCTCAGTATATCAGGGAACCTTTATCGAGCACTTACAGTGTGCCGGGCACGCTCTGCACATGCACAAGTGTTCATCTAAGCCTGACAGCGGCCCTTGGAGAGGGGCAGTGGTATTAGCCATGTCTCATGGGGGGAAACTGAGGCCCAGGATGGTGAAGGGCTTGCTGCTACTCGTCGCACAGCTGGTGAGAGCTGGACCCTGGGTTTAACTGCACACGCTGTGTCTGACAAGCCCTGCCTGGTGGAAGAAAGCAGACCATGTGCTGGAATCACGGAAATCAGGATCCCGAGCTCCCCAGCCCCTTCTCATATGTGGTCATGTACCCTGTGGCTGGGCAGCCACTCAGGCGCCCCCGGTTTGTGGGAAACAGCCTTGCGCTCAGACATTGCTCCTGACGCTCCACGTGGGGGGTTAACACTCTTCCAGTAAATGTCGTCCGCTGCTGACTCTGGGGTCTGTGTGCACACACACACACGTGTGTGTTTGTGTGTGTGCGTGTGCACGCCGCAGTTAGGAGCAGCGTGTCGGGAGCCAGACAGCCTGGGCTTGGATCCAGGAACAACCTCGGGAACATTGCTTACACCATCCGTGCCTCAGTTTCCTCCTCTGTCACATAGTGACAGTCAGCTCCCACCTCATAGCGTCGATGTGAGGATTAGGTGCGTTCGTCCGTGTGAAGTTTAGGGGGCCCGGCGCAGGGTGGGTGCTGGGTGAATGCTGCCGTGATTACTGTTGTTCATCATCCCCCCATTTCTGTTGTTCGTGCAGCCTGAACCCCTTGTCCCCGGGGACGGCTCCTCTCCTGAGTGCAGGGGAGAAGCACCCTGGCTCCATTGGCACCCAGTTGGGTGACCCTGGGCGGGGTGCTTCACCCCCTATGCCTTGGTTTCCTCCTCTGGAAAATGGGGCAATGATCACCCTTACTACATGGGCTTGTTGCGGGGATTAAATGAGTTCTAGGAGCACTCGGGGTCATTAAGTGTTAGTTGGACTGTCCTCCCCTGGACCAGTATTGGGCGACTTGATGTTCACACGTTGTCTCCTTAGTGAGGCCTCCCTGACCAGGTATCTGATGGGGCTCTTTGCCCAGCCCTGGTCACTCTCCATCCCAGCACTCAGCAATGCACAGTTGGGGGGCAAATCCAGCCTGCTGTCTGAGGGCATCAGGGCTGCTCATCGTCCCAGGTGTCTCTGTCATCATGACTGCAGATGCCATAGATTCTGCCTCCTCTTCCCTTCATTTCTTTTTTTTTTTTTAAGATTTTATTTGTCAGAGAGAGAGAGAGAGAGCGAACAAGAGAGAGCACAAGCAGGGGGAGGGGCACGCAGAGGGAGAAGCAGACTCCCCCCCTGAGCACGGAGCACGTCGCGGGGCTCGATCCCAGGACTCTGGGATCATGACCTGAGCCAAAGGCAGATGCTTAACTGACTGAGCCACCCAGGCGCCCCTCTTCTGTTCATTTCTGACAAGACACATAGGTTTGCTTGGGGTAGCAGATAGTGAAGTCGGGGTCCAGAAACGTGCCCTATCTCAAACCTTGCAGTTGCCCAGGGGATCCACTCAGGGACCAAGACCTTGTAGGTCTTGGCTTGTCTGGACATAATCTCTCCCCTGCCACTCCCTCAGGGTCCTCTACATGGTAGGAGGACAGAAGGACTCACCCACCACCTCACCCAATGTCCCCCCGGTCTCCTCAGTGCAGCCAGACCGATCACTGGATGCACCACACCCACATCACCCTGCTTTCTAAATCCTTCTATGGCTTCATCTTGCCCTAAAAATGAAGACAAAAGCTCCCAAATGTGCTGTGTCAGTTGGGGTTGGCTTGATTGTGAGTAGCAGAGACTCAAAATAACAGTGGTCTAAGTAAAGTAGAAGAAACAGAGAAAGGCTCGCGTGCCTGGGCCCAGTAAGTCTGGGAAGAATGTCAGGAGGCTGTCAGAGAGGCAGTGACAGTCACATCCCGTGGGGCCGGTAGGGTGTGGACTTCACTCTGGGTGTGGGGAAGAAGCCAGAGGCTTCTGAGCAGGCGAGTAACATAACTGTGCTGACTTGGAAAGGATGTGCTTGTCTTAGTCTGCGTATTACATTTGTTTGAACGACTGTTCCATTAGTATCTGCCCTCCCACGCTCTACCCCAAATGGACCATCCATGATGGCAGGGACCATGCCTATTTCTTTCCTCAGCAGCCTCTGTCCTACTTCTAGCACATTGCTGGGCATACGGCAGACAGTCAATACATAGTTGTTAAGTCAAGAGAGAAGGAACGGAGAGAATGTTTAGCATGGACAGCAGGGTAGCCCTCTCTCTGCCTGTTTTCCCCGTGTCATATGTGTAAATCCCGGGTGGACTGGCTCCATCATCTTGCAGGCTGTGCTGACATCCAAGGTTTAGCATATAAAAATCTATCAGGAACAACCGCATTGATCCTGAGGTTGACTTCGTGCTGAGCAAGAATAAGTAATGACTCGAGCTACTTCGACAACAATTCAACCGTCTCTTCTTTGCCTTGAAGGAAAGTGGTTAAAGAGACAGAGAGGCCTTTGGGGAAGCGGTTCCAGCGGTGTGTGTCACCCCCGAGGAGAGACATAACTGGAGGATGATTTATTGCAGCCTTCTGGTGTGGGAAGAGCCAGTGGCTTACAGGGGAAAATAGCTCTTCCGTGGCCACCTGTCTGGAGAGTGGAGTGAGCATTTGTATTTCGTTTAGCTGTACAGAAACTCTGAACTCCTTTCCTGCACTCGGCAAACTTTACACCTTATAAATGGTCCAGCTACTCAGCCTGCCAGCCTCCCTTGCAGCTAGGGCTGGGGCAGAGGATTCTGGTTGTGCTCATCATCTGCACCCATATACATAAACTTTGAATGGGAGTGTTGTCACGTTGAGAAACAGGAACCTCATGAAATCGGTTCTGGGGATGGCCAGCAAGTGAGGGGGGCTACGCATCAGTGCTTTGAGCAGTGGGAGACACAATGTCTGTGCCCAGAGCTACCGGAGGTATCTTCATGTGAATAGCTCCATGGGATGATTTTCGGACCGAGTTCTTTGCTACGTGGCCTTTACGTTTGATTATCTGGCCCCTCTGGGAAATCTCCTAGCTACCCACTATGTTTTTGTAAATTCCTTTTCTGCTTAAATTTACTGGTATGAGCTCTGTTGTTTTCAGCTAACTGCCCTGACTCACACATGGTGTGAGTACTCGGAGGCAGAGAGGCGGATGGTGAATGAGGAAGGTGCGTGTAGGAGCTTAACCAGGCTCCTAGAAACAGGAAGCGGGTAAACAACCACAGGCTGTCTACAGCCAATCCCACTTACTTTCTCTTATTTAGTCATTCATAAATATTTATTAAGTACTGACTATACTGAGCACTGTGCTCACTGCTGGGGATAAGTACTGAACAGGGCAGACAAGGTCCCTGTCATCCTGGGGCTTCCATTCTGGCTGGGGAGACAGCAAGAGATAATCAACAAATGAATAAATGAGATACACTGAGATGGTAAAAGAAAGGCACACACAGGATGACAAGACAGAAGGTGACGACGGTGGAAGGCTGATTTCTACAAGGCGGTCAAGGACTAATTCTCGGACTTGCGGTAAATCTTGCGGATGAGAAGCAGCCGGCCAGGCTGAGTGTTCGGGAACACGGGTCCCGGGTGGGAGGTGGTGAGAAGCACCATGGCTCTGAGCAGGAAAAGATGTGGCCTGTTACAGGAGGGCTAAGGGAGAAGGTCATGCAGGGCTTCGTGGGCCACAGCAAGGAGTCTGGATTGTATCTGATGGGAAATCATCGGAGAGATTTATGCAAAGGAGTGACAGGGTGCAACTTGCCATGTAGCAGTGACAAGTAAGCCTGTGTGGTGGCAGGGCCCAGGGAGACCCAACACGTGTGAAGTGTTGTCTACCAGGGAAGCTCAGTAGAGACTCAGCACCCAGGGCTTTTGTTGGGGGCACCCCCCGTCTAGCCCAGGTTCCAGACGGGCAGAAGGAAAGCCGGTACACAGCATAAACCACACTGTGGTTCATCCGTGCCGGATAAAGATGGGGAGGGGTAGAGAGGAGAGATGTGCATGGATTCAGAATCTACTTAGGGGGTCGAGCTGTCAGGAAACACGGATGGTTTGGGTGGTGGGGGGTGTGAGAAAGGGAGGTGTCAGCCTCTGGTCGTCATCGGAGGGGGAATCCATTACCATCATGGGGCACTTTAGAGTTCAAAAACCATGGCTGCAGGTGTCTCTCTCACTTAGTCACAGGAATTTCACCATGAGGAGGATCTTAGGAGCATCTGGTCTGACTGCTTCCTTCAACAGATGAGCAAACTGAGGCCCGTGAAGGGTTATCCGGAGAGTTAGTAGTCGACAGGAGACCGGAATCTCCATTCTCTGATTTCCAAGTAAGTGCTCTTCTAACATGCCCTTTTGAGGATGGCTAGAAAGATCGGGAGTAATAGAATGTTAAGGCCGGAAATGACTGCATGCTGGTTACTAAGCTGGTTTCTCAGCCTCCAACCCACCCTTCTGAACTTTTCTGTAATGCCGGGGCTGAGACTCTACCCAGTCCGTTTAGCCTTTACCAGTTGGCTTTTTGCTGGGTCCCACCTATGTGGATTGCAACAGCCTGGGCCCCATCGAGAGGCAGAACCTTAGGGTGATTTAAATAGGGGAAATGTTACATAAAGAATTATTCAACTATAGGGGCACCTGGGTGGCTCAGATGGTTAAGTGTCTGCCTTCGGCTCAGGACATGATCCCAGGGTCCTGGGATCGAGTCCCGCATCGGGCTCCCTGCTCCTTGGGAGCCTGCTTCCCCCTCTGCTTCTCTCTCTCTCTCTCTCTGTCTCTCATGAATAAATAAAATCTTTAAAAAAAAAAAGAATTATTCAACTATGACAAAAGAGTCACTATGGGATGTAAGAAAAAACTAGCTTGTTTCCTAGGGCTAAGAGAGAGTCCCCCAGGAAGGACAAACTTGGAAGGGGAGCCCCTTCCCTGTTTGAGGTTCAGATCTCTTTGTAGGAGGTAGTTCGCTGGCCCCTGGGTTAGCTCACTGGTGGAGTGCAGTAACACCTAATGAAGTCACCAATGTTCCAAATATTCACCAGTTTGTCTCTCCATCCACCCCTGTTGCCATCTTGGTCCAAGCCACCATCATCTCTCACCTGATTATTGCCATAGTCGCTTCACTGGTCCCTTGATCTTGACCCTATATGAGGTCAGTTTCGGAAGCACAGCCTATGATGGAGATCCTTATGCACATGATTTATCGAAGAGGTGCTCCTGAGAGAAGGGAGTGAGGCGCACAACAGGGCAAAAAGCTAAGCAAGGGAGGAGAGCAACTTCAGCCTGAGCCCGTGGAGAGCCTGGAGCGTGAATTGCATCCCAGAGTTGTCCCAACTTGAGGCAAAGGGGGCTGTTGGCATTTGTATCTCCCTGTCACTCTGTCATTGGCTATCGGCTGCTCCGTGCTGTGCATAGGGATGAAAGCCTCCTGCACAAGGAAGCTCCCATTTGGCCTTAGGGCTATCCTCACTCTGGGGAGGGGGGCACCTGTGGGCCTCTGTCAGCTATGACTCAAAGCAGCCGGGGCCTGAGGTCAGGAAAGGGGGTCCAGGCAGGGCCCCCGGGGTCTAGGCAGGGGTCCAGGCGGGGCACCATCACCCCTCCCAACATTCTACTGATAGATGGGCGGTCCCGGTGGTCCTCCTCTGGTTCAGGGGAAAGTCAGAGATGGAATCCGTCCATCTTGTGTGGGGACTGCATGGTCCCTGGGCTGCTGTGGCATCTGCCAAGAGGTGGTCGAAAGGTCAGGAAATCACGATGGAGCTGGATTTAGAGCCTCTACTCCAACAGAGTTCCGTTTAAGCCCCAACCTTGCCGCTCTCTGGCTGTGCGACCTTGGGTGAGCTGCTTCTTTGCTCTGGATTCATTTCCTGTCGGCAAATCCGATCTGACACCTGCCTTCGGGATGGATTCTGGGTCTGTTCTCTGTAGCCCACTGCTCTTACGTGTTCGTCATGCATTGGCACTAATTTCGAACGCCCGTCTGGATGTTCCCATAGATTAAAAAGCTGCTTAGGATGACCTGAGCCCAGAACCAAATTCCGTTTCGCATAGACACACAAATATTTTTTTCACTGTTTTAAAATATACCAAGTTTTCAGGAATGAAACTATGGCATCAACTGAGGGAAGATCATACTTTGATTTTTTCAGGACTTCACCGAGGTCTGTTCACCAGGTTGAAAACTTGTATCACCAACGGCAAAGCCTCTTGTGCCGTCTGGGTGGCCCGCCCACAGCTGTCCTGGTCTGCGTCTGTAGCTTCATTCCCTGGGATTCTCCGTCCAAGTTCAGGCATCGGACGACGAGTGTATCCTCCAGTTGAGTCGTGCCAGAGTCTGTGTGTTGAAAAGTGTTTGATTTTATTATAAATTCCTTTCCTTTCCCTTTTATCTTATACGCGGGATTAGGATATTGATTAAAAAATGGGTATATAGGTAGGTTATGTTGATGAGGAATTTCATTTCAGTTGAATAGAAATCATTAAATATTTGTTTTAAAAACCAGGCATTGGCTCTGATAGAGTTGAGAACCACAAGTCTGAACAGAATTAGCAACGTCTTTTCTTTCCCCAGGGGACCCATAGCCGTATTTAGAGACGCCTTTGAGCTACTTGTTAGCTTGAGCTCAATTTTACAAGGACAGAGTCATTTCTGCCCTTCGGGCCAATCTAATTCTCCTTTGTTGCGCTATTAAGGAGTCTGCTGAAGACCCGAGTGATTTTTACCCCACCTCCCTGGGCTGTGTGTTCTGGAATGGTCCCTACCGAGGGAGTGTGGCTGGCTGGCTCCCCTCTGCCAGGCCGAGCAGACCTGGGCTTTTGCCAGATTTAGGTCTCTGTCCAGTGAGCGAGTAATTGCTTTCCTCCATGGGAGACACAACAACAATCAAGAAACAAACAAACACATTAAGAAAAAAAAAAAAAAAGGCAGAAACGCTCAGTCATGCAAATCAGGGCGAGCAGAGGGTTAAGAAAAGAGCCTCATTTGCATGTAGCAGCTCCTGCAGGCCCGGGCCCACCGGCCTCTCTCTAAGAAAACCCGCGGCCCAGAGCAGCAAACCCCCGGGCACATCAATGCACAGGAATAAAGGTTTGTCCCAAGCGGAGTAAACACCACCCGTTCCCAGGACACCGAGAGGCAGAAAATGATCTGGAGGTTAACTGGGTCATTAGCTGTGGCACAACATGGGTCATGCTGGAGGTAATTTCGTTCCCTTCCACCGGTGGCTACAATAAAGCCACTGACCGGCTCTCCCAGCGAGGGGCCAGTGACTCAGTGGCAAGCTGAGGTTTCCGGGATACCGGACCAAAGCTGTCATTAGGATTCATGGCACCTCTGACATCGCGGGAACTTTTGTGATGCAAAGTTCCATGTTGTCTAAACACACCCGGGACCCCGGAATCTGCGTGTCCTCGCTATGTGCGCTGCGCCCACAAAATGGGACACGCACAGACGTATTATTACATATAATATGTATCAAACCAGTTTTAATCAGGTAGCCAGGATTTGTTTTCTACCTGAAGGGTAAGACATGTAGACATAGAAGTGACAGTTACAGAGGGAGTTTATTATGCTTCTAGACTTATAGAAACACACAGGGCCAAGTGAAGAAGCACTGGGGTCTACCAGGAGGCAGAGGGAGAGTGGGGAGTCTGTGAGCAAGAGGCTTTCCTGTAGTTCCGGGCGGGGGAAGCTGGTGAGGCAGGGCAAGAAGGCTTAGGATTGGCTAGTTTGAATGATTTCAGTGGGCTCTAGGCACAGGATTTGTCCCGAGCTGCCTGGTACCTGGTGTGGGAGTGATGAAGTCAGGAAAATAGTGGCCAGGAAGTGGTGCCTGGATGGCTCAGTTGGTTAAGCATCTGCCTTAAACGTCTGCCTTCCGCACAGGTCGCGGTCCCAGGGTCCTGGGATTGAGTCCCACTTCGGGCTCCCTGCTCAGCCGGAAGCCTGCTTCTCCCTCTCCCTCTGCCTGCCGCTCCCCCTGCTTATGCGCGCTCTCTCTCTCCGTCAGGTAAACAAATAAATAAAATCTTTATTAAAAAAAAAAAGAGGGGAAAAAAAGAGCACTCCAAGGCTCCAAGGCGAGTGGTTTGCTATCTCAAGGAGGGGCAGTCCTTACAGGGCAGCAAGGTCAAGATCGTCAGAGCATCAGAACCCCCCAAAATAAAAGACATGGTTAATACATATACAGAGACACCACACTATACTCATGCGCACACACAGGCACACACGGAAAGCTGGGTTAAAACTGCCTTCTGTTCCTGTTCGTAGTAGTTAGATCACTTTCCCCAAAGCACGTCTTATTATACAATAGTATTCTTTTAATTGCAAGAACACTTGAGAAATTGCAGGGATGAAGTTAAACAAATCCGAGTGTTCTAATTATGCCTTCTGCATATGTTCTGCCTTTACATCTTGTTTGGAGAGTCTAAGAGCCAAACAGAGAAGGAGGCTCGGGCAGCGGAAGTCACGTGAGCAGAACCAGAGACAATTACAAGGGAGGGACCCCCCCCCCGCCCCCCGTCAGGGTCACCTCCGCAGGCACAGGGAAGCCTCTCATAGGATGCTACCTGGGTCTGGAAATCGGGAAGCAGGTGTTCGCCCGTGACAGTCTCACTTCCTGCTCCTCATTCGGAGGTGCCCCAGCCAGATGGCGGAGGCCCAGGAGGAAAGGAGCAGGCTGGGCTGAGGCCGCTGGCTGAGCCAGCCCTGGACTTCCAGCAGGGACGGCAGGGGCTTGCCTCCCACGCCCCAGCGCCCTCCCCACCCGCCCAGCACGCCCTTCCCGCCCAGAGTGGGGGCTCTCTCTGCCCCGAGAACATGCTTGAAGACTCGGAGATGTTCCCGGATTCACAGGTCCTGGGGGCACGTGGAGGCCTGTGCGCCCCTCTCCCTCATCCCCCTTCCCCTGGACTCACTGACCTTCCTTCTGTGCCTCAGACGCGCCAGGTTCGTCCCAACCCAGGGCCTTTGTCTGGGCCGTGAGTCCTCTTCCAGGCTGTCCCCAGCTCTTCGCACAGCTGCCCCTTCTCACCTTCCAGGGCTCTGCCAGGTGTCACGTCCGCAGCGGGGTCCCCTGACCGCCCTGTCCACAGTCACCCCCTCCACCCAGGCCCTTCCCAGCATGCCGCTCTGTTTTCTCTTCTGGGTACCACTCGTCACCATTGGAAGGGACCCCGGGGGCGTGTTTCCATGGTGTCATCTCCCTGGCCTTCCGTCTTGAGTGTGAGCTCCAAGGACGCAGGGACCTGCCTGTCCTGCGAAGCCCCGTATGCCCAGCACCGGCAGCAGCGCCTGGCCCGGAGGTGCCGCCCGGTACGTGGCCGGGGGACGGCTCGGTGGCTGAGCCTGGCATCCGGAGTCCTGGGCTCAGCTCCCGCAGGCTGTTTCCTGGCCCCCTGCCTGTCGGACAGGGACGCCTCCTGTCTGGGTGCAGGCTTCCTCCTCTGAGATGCGGGGCTGATACCAGAACACTTGTCTCCCAGGACTGCTGGGAGGCGCAGAGACAGAGGAGACCGACATCGGAGCTCGGCCAACCCGAGAGCCGAGGGGACGGGAGCGGCCCCGTCACAGTCACGGCGCACCTGGGTGGAGGTCAGGGCTCGGGCTGAGGGGCCTTGGTGCGTGTGCGTGCATGTGTGTGTGCGCACGGAACATTGTCGAATTACCACGTGGACCCATAAATAGTAGCAGCTGATGCTTCCTATGCCAAGCACGAATTCACTTAATCCTCACAACCACCTGTGCATAGGTCTTGTCATCATCATCATCATCATCAATGCTGTTCTACAGATAAGGGAACTGAGGCACAGGGAGGCGATATTACCTGTCTGAGGCGGCCCAGCGGGCAGGTAGAGGCGCTGGGGTCTGAAGCTGGCACTGGGCTCCAGAGCCAGAGTCCTTACCATACACATTCTCTCTGCTTTCTTTACATATTCTACTCCTCTTCTCCCAGCAGGACTGTGGGCAGAGCAGGCAGCAGCCCCGGGAAAACCCAGGCAGAGGGGAATGCACTTTATCGTGTGTTCACCCACAGAGGCCTCGATGTCTCTGGGACGCCATGAATTCTCTGTAACAGCAATTTTAGTAAGCCTCATCATTTCTCCAAGGGAAATCTTTTGATTTTGCAATGAGTAAGGGTGTGTTCAAAAGAAGATTTCACCACATATTCACCATGATGCATGGAATGTTCCAGATTGATATTCTGCGTGAGACTGGAGCCCAGTTGGAGCTCTAATGGAAAGGATTACTCCTCCATGGGGCGAATTTGCTTTATATCCCCTGACTCTGGCAGAGCCAAGTTTCTATAATAGGTAGTTCAACCAACCAGAAGCTTCTGTTCCAAAGACTGCTGGCTGTTCCCTAATATCCATCCCTCCTTCCTTCGGGCTAATAGACTCTGACATATGAAAGCTGGCATGGCGCTACCCAGAATAAAGCCTACATTTCCCAGCCTCCCTTGCAGCTAGGTGTGGCCGTGTGGCTAAGTTCTTTCCAGGGGGATATAAGAACAGCAATACGTACAGCTTCCAGGGGAGCCCTTAGAGGTCAGAGTCTCTGTCCTCCTCCTTTTTACCCACATCCTGATGGCTGGGTCCAAGCATGGCGCTGAGGCATGATGGACCATGGAGGGGAGAGCAAGCCCATGGGGGTGGTGAATGGACAAGACAGAAGGAGCTTGGACCTTGAGCTGCCATGCCAATCTGGGCTGCCCCCTCTCTGATGATTCTGGAGAGAGAAAGAAGCTGCAGCTGGAGCAGTATCCTAATGCATGGAGATACATGCCTCACCACAGCTGTTTGCACCCCACTCCAAGAGTGGGGTCGCACCAGGTACCTGTCCTTGTGAAAAGGGCGGCACTCTGCCTCTCCCATCAGACTTTAGCATAAGTCATGTTTTCTGGTATCGTTTGGTCTCTGGGCCTCTTCTATCCATCAGGAGTTGAGGCTCTTCTCTCCCTCCTCCCACACGACTTTCCCTGCTGCCCACGCCAGGGTTGAAAGCCCGGGCTCCCGGCCTGTCCCCCAACCACCCACAGTCCCTGCTCCATAGAGTGACCAGCCCGCAGCCCATGGCCCGAGAGACCCAGAGGAAGGCTGGGGGTTCCCGTGCCTCTTCCCTGACTGTGCCCTGAAGTCACACTAGCCACATGTCTGGGGTCCTGTAATGATACGTACCGGATGGTTACCACCCTGGGCAATGCAGATGCAGAACAGTTTCATCATAGTAGAAAGTTCTCTTGGACGACACTGGCCAGACAGACAAGGTTTTGAATCTAGCAAGTCATCAGGTGGGAAAGAGGCACCAGGCAAGAAGGAAATGAGACGTAAAGGGAGGTTTGACCAAAAGGTCCTCCCTCCCTCATTCATTCGATCCTTCATTCACTCACCGAATTCATTTCACATCTATCGAGCTCCTTCCAGGGACCGACCACTGTGCTGGTCCCAGGGAAACAAAAGAGAATTAGGCAGACACAGCCCCCAACCTCGGGGAGCTC